AAAAAGAAACTTTTGCTTACTGAAGTGCATTAGTTGATCATTCGAGATAAAAGGTTTCTAGAGTTTGTTCAATACAATACAAATACATAAAAATGGTGTCTTTAAGTTTCTTGTTTTGACGCGATAGTTTTATCTTTGAAGTTTCTGACTCTTTCAATATGTTGTCCTCCACGACAAATTTTTAGGGGAGGAGGTAGATGACGATGATTATGGAAATCCAGCGGCTGCTGTAAATATAGGTCCTAGCATCAAAGCTGCTGCAGTCTCACAGATGGAGGCAGCAATTGATGCATTGTCGCGAGAATTGGCCAAGTTGCGAACGGGCAGAGCATCGGCTGGTACATGAACTCAATTTCTGTTGTAAACAACATAACTTGTTTGGCCTTGGACTTGGACTCACTCGTTTAGTTTACTGGAATCACAGGGATTCTCGATCATATCATTGTTGAATCAGGAGGTGTTAAAACACCCCTTTGCAGGATGGCTGTCATTTCAGTGCTTGACCCAAAAACCTTGTCGGTGACTCCTTATGATCCAAATGTAATATTATATGCAAACTCATAACCATAATCTGTCTAGGTTTCTATATTTGCTCGATACATAATCAAAGCTTGATTTATGGAGCCATTCTGATGTAAATTTATTCTGATTGCATTGAGGTTGCAAACTGAACCATATTTTACATAAACATGAACCATGATCGACTCTTTTTTGCAGACCGTCAAAGAATTGGACAAAGCCATTGTTTCATCTCCATTGGGGTTAAATCCTCAAGTGGACAACCAGAGGTTAATTGTGCCAATTCCTCCGTAAGTATCCATCTGAAAGAGTAATTTAGTCTCTCCTGTTTCTGGGGTCCACCTATTAGATTGGCTAAATGTTAAAAATAGAAGCAAAAAGTTGATTTAATCTGGACTTGATAGTCTTTTTTTTGGGAAGAGATTTGAAACCTCACAATTTACAAAGTGGACGGATCTTCCTCTTACTATAACTTTCATGTTGCCAGTATTTACATGTAGAATGGCTTGAATTACATTATATTAATGTAGACAAAACATCATTATTACACTTTTTCAAGACAAACATTCTTGCTAGGGAATATAACTACTTCAGGCAATTCCTTATCAAAATAACTACTTCAGGCAATTAAGTGTTGTGATTCTTTGCTATTTGCATCAGCAACATTTTGGGATATTTGATTGGGGAACTTACATATTTGACCACTCGGTCAAAGATATTTACATTTGCTAGAAAATATAGATAATTTATACACTAATTATACACAATATATACATTTGCCGGCTATTTTTTTGAGTGGACGGCTATTTAAGTTAATTTCTCTATTTGATTTGCAATGGAAACTTTATGTCCCGTTAGATTTCCAATGCTTTTGACTCAGCCTTTCTTCTTTTCTTGGCAATCCGTGCAACAAGCAGGTTGACTAAGGAGCATGTGCAGGTGATCCTTGTCAATTTTCAGTTCTTTTTAATATGTTTCCTGGGCTGATAATATTATCCTCTTTACCAGGCTGTATGCAAGGTGGTTGCGAAATCATCTGAAGATGTTAAGCAAAGTGTAAGACGAGCGCGGCAGAAGGTACACCATTGAGCAAACACCTTTGTGCTTTCTCCTTTTCCTCTTCTTTTTTTTTGTAAGTTTTCCTTTTCCACTTCACTTGCTTAAAGTTCTCCTTCCCTTTTTACATCCATAAAGCAAGGCCATAAAAAAAATGTAGCCTTTATAGGAAGTAAAATACCCATTTCATCATATTGAAATATAAAAGCCCAAAATGTAAGGAATAAGGGAACAAAAGACAATAGAAATTCAGAAGCACTGGAAGAAAGGATAAGATGATTGGGCAATGGATGGGATCACACCCGTATCATCCGAAGGATAAAATGACTGAAGATACCTAAGGAGGGCAAAGGAGAGAGAACCGGTAAATATGTTTTAAGGGTTTTAGGGGAATTAGTGCTGTCGAAAACCAACATATGATGAGATAATAAGAAAGTAGTTGCACGTATATTATATGAAGTCAATAGGAATGGGCTTCTTACTGATTGAAATTGACCAGAATATGGTTCAAGCCAACGCAAACAACAACAACAAACCCAGTGAATTCTCACAAGTGGATGGTTCAAGCCAGCTCAAGTTGATTAAAAGCTGTGAAGAGAGTCATGCCCTAGCTACTCATGATCTGCACCAAATTCTGTGTAACCCTAACCGTGAGTTTGTTTGTTTGAATGGTGTAGTACAGACTTACAGTAAACACTAGAAAATTGCATTTGGCTATTACTAAAGTCCTTGATACATGATGGCGCTAAACTCTCATAAGAATTTAGTTAAGTAGTGATAATCTTCGAATAGAGGGACATGTTGCACACTTTTTAATTATTTATGTCCTTTTGTCTTCCACGAGCATAAACGGTCCAAATTGGACGAAATGGATATTGGTGATTCATATAGCTGACTCCAACTTGTTTTTGATTGAAGTGTAGTTGTAGTAATAGTTGTCTCTAAAGATCCACTAAATTGATTGTAAGTAATAAGGAGCCAACAATTGGATTTCTCTTACTTGGTCCAAAAAGAATCAAAATTTACAAGTGATAATGAACCAACACTTGAAGTTTTTATGGATAGGGAGAACTAGATCCAACAATTGGATTTCTTACTCATCACAAAAAAAAAAAAGATTGAGTTGCAAGAAGCCAACAATTGGTGTTCTCTTATCAAAATATATATACAACTTTGAGTTGTGGGAAATGGATGGAATGGGAGTCAAAGAAAAGTTTATGCATGAAGGTTGTGTATCTGGAGTATCCAAATGAAGTTGGAGGTGTGTTGAACTTTGGTTATTGCTGGGTAACAAAGACATGAGTGCTGCAGTTGTATAGAAGATTGACTTTCTGTTCTGGGTATGCTGAAGTGATTGGTGCGGAGAGTTCGGAAATTAAATGAATAATAAATATAAGTGCTTAGAGGGGTTATATTTATATGTACCCAAATTCTGGTAGTATTTGGTTGCAGCTGTGTATACAGAAAGGTTCTTTAGAGGAATAAGAGAGAAGGGCTATTGTCCTTGCGACATTTCTATTATTTTCGTTAGAGAAATGGGGACGAAAATAAACTATCTAAGAGAGAAAAAACTGGGAAGTTCAAACTAGGGGAATGCTAAAAGAATAATTACTCAATTCATTAACCTTCAATTCAGTTTGGCCACTTAGAAGAGGTTTCTGTAATTTTCAGGGATGCTGTTCTGTATTAGCAAATTAATGGAGCTCTCCACATAGTTGACTATTTATTTTTCTTGTTTAGAGTTGGGGGAGTGTCTTTGTGCAATTGTTGTGTCTGTGTGTGTGTTTATGCCATATGTTACATGTATGGTAAACGGATTCCCATGGTGATGTCCACAATACTCTCCTCACATGATGTGGGCTGTACTGAAGAAAACCTGGTCATCACCTATTTGTCTCCAGTCCTTTCTGAGGTCCAATGTTTATATTCTATTCTCTCATTGCAAGACAGCAGCATGGCCCGTGATATCACTACTATATTTATTGGTGAACTCAATCTCCACAACCCCAACAAAATGGAAGTAATGAACAAAGGGAGAAAAGATGTTGAGCTGATGGAAACAGTTATATGCATGTAGTTTGTGCATGGATATTAAACCCAAGAACTTACGTGACAAAAGAAATCTTGCCTAGTTGATACTACAAGATGTTAATCCCTTATTTTAATTATTTTTTATATCAGGCTTTGGACACTATAAAGAAATCTTTGCCCAAAAAGAAAGACAAGGCAGCTTCAGCTTTCTCAGAAGATGATGCGAAAAGACTGGAGAAGGAAGTACGTTATTTTACTTGTTTGCTGAAGAAATTACTATGTGCTGTATAATTTATATTCTATTCTTTACAGGCTCTTTTACTTCGGTTTGTGTGTGTTCTTTCAGATTGATGACTTGACTAAAAAGTTTATAAAGTCGGCAGAAGATATGTGCAAGTCAAAGGAAAAGGAAATAACTAGCAGCTGAAAAAGCAAGTTTTTGTTTTAGCAGAGGCTCATTTAGAGATTCAATTTTTGGCTGAGGCTGTTGAGGAAACTAATTAAGCTCCAGAATTGTTGCGCGCAAAGTCAGAAAAAGACACAAGACATGTTCGCGTGATTATGCAGATACTTGAAGGAAAATATTGTATTCCTTTTCTAAGTTATGTTGTTGCCTTTGTTGGGTTTTAGTGGTTTACGTCCAAGATCATATATCTTAGCATTCTGTGACAAGTGTTGAATGTAAGCTAGAACGAAAGTCGAGCATAAATTAATGACCTCATTTGAGAATTTAGTGATGAAATAAAATTGGAAGTTTAGTGAATTTTATACTCTGTATTGTTGTGTTAAATTGTTAGATGTTGAGTGACTGAGTTGTAATTTGAATTAATATTTAACCAAGATCCTCAAACCTGAAAGCATGAAATAATCAACTAATTCAATCACATTGCTTAAGAACTATAATCACCACAAATTGAAATGTTTAAGCAAATCATAACTTTCTTCTGGTTTGCTATATAATTATGATTCTTAAGTTCCGATAACATTGTCTGCTCCAACTATAAATAAATGGCATTTCATGAAATAATAGGGAGCAAAAACTCTTCTACTTGAAGTAAAGCTGTAAAATTGAGTAGTGTTGATAAGAATACTTTGGCTGTATGATCGCAAAATAAATGCACACAGATAGAGCAAACGAGTTAAACTCCAGACGTAATATAAACTTGACATCCAAGATGTTGTAATAAAAGCTTGTATATAATTAATCTTGTAAGAAAATATTGTATTTCTTATAACCTATGCTGTTGGTTTTTAGCTGTTTACGTCCAAGATCATATATCATTTCATTTTGAGACAAGGGTTGAATGTAACCTTTTTTTTTTAAATTCAAAAACCATATCTTCTCTTTCTCTTCTTACAAGAATAATTTTATACAATCAAAATATAAAGCAATGTGCACAGAGCAGAATCATACCAAATAAAATTTCATCATCTGTTAAAGTCGGCTACAAACACTATCTAGGTGAAGATAAGCAATTTTACACTTCATCACTGACGAATTTTGGATCTAATCGCCAGCTCTAGGACAAAAGGATCAAACTGCAGATTATGTAACTCTCTAAGGTATCACTTCGATAAATGGAAGATAAGGTAACATACTTCAACTCTTCTACCTTAAGCACATTACAGATTCTTCACTCATCTCTGCAGTTAGTTGATATGTATGATTCTTTGATGCTAGTGTGCAGTAAATACTACCCTGATCAATTATCTGATAGCTGCACAAGGAAACGAATATTGCAGAAGCCAGGATGGTAAAACTCCAAAAAAGGGTTGGTTTGGATCAGCCGTACCTACATGATTCATGTTGCAGCGGATAAAAGTACAACATGAAAATTTTAACTAGCTGATAATGCAGTACGACAAACCAACATGCTTTCTCTTGTCATGAAATTGCTTAAGTTTCTTCAGATTGGAATGGCAACGTCAATCTTTTCAACATGAACATTGCCGTCACAGTCAATTTTGTAGGAGATGTCAAGGCCTTCCAAAATAAGGTGGTAAACAATATCATCAGGAAAATGAAGTGCCTCTTGGCTATCATCATCTTCAAGCATCACATTATCTTGGCAGTCTGAATTTTGAGAGATCATGCTGCTGTTTTCAGTCTTATGAGGCCGAAGTCTCTGAGATACTGATCGTATGTCCCATGACAGCACTTGTTGAATTAAATTTTGAAATTCAGTAGGAGATGTATAAAGTGATATCTTCTTCTTCTTCTCTGTTATTCTTGACCAACAATGGTTTAGAGAGGCAGAGAAGTCGTGAGAGAAGTTAACAGATGCTACAGCTAACATATTATCCACCTTTACCCAATCGGGGACCATTGCTCCAGAGATGCTATCACAGTATGGAAGATATGGCTTAATATCAAGAACCGGAGTTCCATCAACTAAATCAACACCAGAAATGAAAACTTTATTGCCATCCACAACATCAACCTTTGCGACAGTGAGGCCTATAGGGCATGGACGATGAGGAGATCTTGTCGCAAAGACCCCCATCCTTTCTCCTTTCAGCCTTGGTACTCTTACCTTTGCCTTGAACTTAGACTGTGATGGATGCTTCCATAACTTGTCAAGATCCGTATTTAGATGAAAGACATAGATAATCCAACAGTGAGAATAGCCTTCGAGACCCTCAAGAGATGCGGGTGGAACTCGAGTTGGATCAAATACTAGACATGCTCTAGCAAGAGGTACAATCAAAGGTTGCCTTGGAGTCCCATTCCTAATCACAAATATTAATGCTACAAGATATTATTTACAGTACATCTATATTAAGAAACCATACAATAAAACACAATGCTAATTCAGTTTTAAACTTTTTAGGGGGAAAATTTAAAACAAGAAAAGGTTACCTTGTGGAGAAGCATGACCGAGTGATTGCAATAGGTGCCAAAGGATATGAATTATTAGAATTATTTGAGGTTGCTTTCCTCAATGCTTGTTGAGCTCTAATGCGGCCTTGCCTCTCAGCACCGCATTTTTGCAACGCAGCCTTCAAAGATATTTCCAACTCTCGGATTTTCTCCTTGTCAGCCGTTGTCTTTCTTCTCCAAAATCCAACACCTATGGCTGCTGCTAATGTAGAAAGCGCCGTGAGTGCTATGGAGACTGTAAGCAATTTGGTCGCCGCCATGAAAATTAATGACCTAGAACAAAAGACGATCATAAATATTAACAACCTTCCTCATTTGAGAATTTAGAGATAAATAAAATCAAGTCACAAGTTTAATGAATTTTATACTCTAGCTGTTTTTGGCTAAAAACATCTCTGAACTATGGCCCAAACCTAAGATACATCCCTTAACTAATTCAGAAGTTGCAACAACCATCCTTCCATTTAGTTTTTGTCAAGAAACTAACCCCATAAACTAAAACACATGGCTTTCCCCCTCAATCTCTCAATTCTATCCCTCCCGCCCGATCGTGTTCCAACTTCATCAAAACTAAGGCTTCAAAAAACTAAATTTTCTTTCATTCTGAACTTCATAGAATAATCTAGAGTAACGTTAAACGAAGAAGATATTAAAGCTATTTATTCTCCTAAAACCAAAACACGTGACTTCCCCCTCAATCTCCTGGTCAGAAGTAGAGCGTTTAATCACCACAGGTGGGTGATGATTTATCATGGAAACAACTCAGGGAATTTCATATTACTTTCTGCAGTACTCCAACTATATGTTTAAAATTGAGAGTTTTTATGATAAAATGTAGCCTCTTTTGAGCCAATGCATATAGCCAGCCAGCAGGCTATTACAAAATGAACTAAGAGATGCTAAATTTAGTACGCTGAATAAGGGGACTTGAAATTTAAACAAAACATAAATTCAATCTCTTTCAGGCATTTTAGCAAACAAGTAAAGGGCAACTCAACACTGACTTAGCAGATCTTAATCAATGTATGGTTAGTTCTAGTGCAAATACAATAAGATGAAGAGGATGAAGAGAACGTAAACTAACTAATACCAGTCGTCAACTACATTAAAATAACCAATTAAAACAGCTAAGAAGAGAAAGATTATGGACTTGACTTTTACCTTGTTTCGTGAAGCGCATCTACAGCAAATTGACTCAAAGAGTCAAAACCGTAGTTTTTTCCTCTTTTGGTGCAGGAAACCATAGCTCATTTTATAGCGCGTGTTTTTTTTAAATTAAATTGTTCGACAAATATCCACAAATATAGAGTCCATTGCTCAAATTAGTAAAATTATGTTTTTTTTTGTTTAGTAATAGAAAGTCACTTGAATTATTATTTATATATGTTTGAGAACTATTTTTTTTTTGTTTATAAATATAATTTATTTATTATATAGGTAAGTCCATAATATAGAGTAGAAAGAAAAAAATTATAATATTAAAAAAGATAAAAGTTGATAATTTAGAGGGTAAAATAGATATTTGGTCATCGAAAGTTTGAGAAATCTAGCTGAATGACCTTTTATATATATATATATATATATATATATATATATATAATTTTACTAGATAATTTCGAATAGTTGAGCGACATTTGAGTAAGAGTCCGGCAAATATGGAAGGCTAGAACTTTTTGGTGCTTTAACAATGAACTAGCAGAACATCTTGAAATTATGTCAAAAGCTTTATTTGAATATAATGAATATCTTGAGTTTTGTTGCTTGGCCCTTCTAATGAAAAAAAATCAAGATTATTGTGAATCTTTACTAAATGTGCTCCAAGGTCAAGGTGGACCTTGATATTTGTTAATACTGATACGAGGAGAGCAAGTATTGGGGTGGTTGCTTTGGATAGGCAGTAGCTCCATTCCTATGAATCCCCAATTCAGTTTAATTTTGAAGAAAAATGCAAAAGCCCCTTAGAATGTGGATGTTGCTTGAGAAGATATATGACACTTAGATTTTGAGTTTGATCATGTTAATTTTGTACATATATCTACGACTTTTAGAGCCGGGCGTCTATCCAAAATAAACTTTTTACCTACACAAGCCCACACTTTGGGAATATACTAGTTATGTTGTTGTTGTTGTTATCTAGGACTTTTAATTATAACTTAGCCAAATTTTCTGTTTCTTTTTCAAAACAAGTCTCTTGGGCAACTATGTTTCCAAGTTAATTGTAAATGAGACATATCATGACCTTAATGAAGTAATATATGATTTCTTTTGGGAAAAAGAAAAAGATGGTGTGTGACAAGAGTGTAACTTGAATTAATTTATAAGGCCAACCAACATCTACCAGATCCTCAGCAAGTTCAAATTATGACTTTCTTCTGCTTTGGTATATACTTAAGTTCCACAAACATTGTCTGCTTGAACAATGAAAATAAATGGCACTTAATCAAAATAATAGAGAGTAAAACAGCTGATAAATCAGCTCTCCAACTTCTTTTCAATTAAAACTTGTGTCTTTACAAGTCTGTAACATACAAATGTATGAGCTTTATCCGAGGAAAATAACTGTGGTGAAAATTTCTATTAGAAGTAAAATTGAGTAGTGCTTGATAAGAATTCTTTGGGAGCATCCAACTGTTTCTGGATTACCCGTTCGCTCTACAATTCCCTTACATTTGCAAAGAATGTGTAGTCAAGAAAAAAAGACTAGAATCATCGGTTCTGGAGAGCTTCAATCGCCTTTTTCCACTGCTGTGCTCGTTGTTTAGTATCCTCAAATGACATAACTTTCTTTGGCTGTATCATCACAAGATGAACAAACGAGTTAAACTCGAGATGACTTGGCAAAAAGTAATATACGCTTGACTACCAATATACTATAACAAGCAAAGGGACTTAACTGTACAAATCTTGAACTGTGAAGGGCTTGTAACTTGAATACTAAGATCATTAGGATTGTCGGACCATATAATGTTCCCTTTGATCACCAACTTTGAAGGATCAACATAAATCAACTTTGGTTTATTTGTTAGGATTAGCTGAACTTTCTTGTTTGTAAGTTTCTGTATCTTTTTCACCATGGAAATCATGAGAACGGATTCACCCGGTTCCAAAAATTGCTTCCTATTGATGTCATCACAAGAAATAAGTCAACACAAATTAGTTATGAACAGTATAGAGAGAGAATATAGCCCTTATGGAATTACTACGAAACTCTATTACAAAAGATTACAAGATGATTGCATCTCACGTCTCACGTTCAAATCTCAACGGAGGCAAAAATACTAGGTGATTTCTTCCCATCTGTCCAAGCATTGGTGGATAGAGTTACCTGATACATGTTGCTAGTGGGAGGTAGTAGGTATCGCGTGGAATTAGTCGAGGTGTGCACAAACAGGCCCGGACACCACGGTTAAAATAAAAATTGCATCAAAAATATTCTAGAGTGTTTTTCATTATGTAGGTAAGTAAGCAGAAGCTCAGGATCCTACCATTTTGAATCGAAAGAGTCGATCGATGCAAGCCTGGTGATGCTACCAGTTTCAGAAGTTGATGCAGCACCGCCATTTCCATCGCTAGGTCTAACTGAACCATCGCCAATGTGCGATGGATTCCATGAAGGATCTTGTTCGTCGCCACTGCTATGAGTTGACGGGGCCTAAATGATTCGAACTAGCACTTCAATAATTGTATAAATGTCTAACCGGAAAAGAAGTATCTCTCAGGACAAAATAAAATAAGGCTTGAATGACTAAAACATAAAGAGGGAATGACTTACTTTTGGCTCCATAGCAAGCTTTGGAGGAGTTTGTGACCTTAACTTCTCCCAATCAACCCCATTAAAAAAAGGATGATTTTTCAGTGAAGTATAACCATCAGGTCCGGCACCAGGTCTTCTGCTAGGATCGATATCCTGAGATGTTGGAGCATTTAAGTCAGTCAGGCAGAGTAGAGAAGATCAATGCGAAAATGTATCTAGCATACTACGGACATTTTCCACCCAACTCGAAGTTCTATAACCTTAATCTTCATAGAAACTCGTAAAAGACATTTTGACAAGTCCCCGGACCCCGCGCATAGCGGGAACTTAGTGCACCGGCTAGCATTAGCACAAAGGTTCTGCTCCCGAGATACCAACTACATCTCCTTGAAATCATGCATTGACTTCTTGTTAGGATAAAACAGTACCTCCTCCTCCCTACTTACCACTAAAATATATAAATATGTAAGAAGGTCCTCACCCTCCCAGCACTCCCCCAAAAATTATATCTGGCAAAACTGCACTCAATATTCTAAGCTTCTGTCCCTCAATATTTTCAACGTTGAACAACTATATCGTATTAGCAAGGAATTAAGTTAAGCCTGATAACAATTTATAAATAAAAACAAAACTTTGTTCTCCACAAAACTCTTAGCTTTCATATCTCCTAATAAAAAAGAGTCTCTCCATTCCCACCCTCAGAGATATTGGCACCTAGCAGTTAGCCCACCTTTAAAAATTTCGTCCTCCCTATGTAAGAAGCTTGCTTTATCGGACCTAAAGCTCAGAATCAGGTTTATTGTTACTCAGCATTACTCCACAAGTAGGATCCTAGAATGCAGAAAAGGTCAGAGATGCACTAATTCATAAAAAAATACGAAAGGTTTATGTCATGTAATCATTGCAGTTTCGGTGGTATTTCAACACCCGGCATTTCTTATAACGCTTTTACCTATTATATAACTCTCTAGGAGATAAGAGATCAACCATTTCTAAAAGGCACGACTGAAGGAGTGAAGTCATATTTTTTCTACGTCGTTTATTTTTCTTTATTCATAATAGGTATCCAATGCAGATTATAAAATAAGTAAATTGCATCTTCGTATCATCTCAAAACCACAAAAAACATTCAAGTAACATCACTTTGCAAGGATTATTCCCTGTTTCATTCACAAGAGAAAGATAGGTCGATAGACAATTATATGCTTTGCACTACCAAGAACAAACTAGATATAACTTTTGATACAGAAATATTATAACTTCGCCAACAAAGCTGGGACTTCAAGTAGGTATATAATCTAACGTAGAGACGATACATTGTTTAAGTAACAAACTTGAAAGTCCTGAGAACCAGGTTAAAGTGATGAAGTGATAGTTCTAGATAATCTCAAGCAGAAAGATAAGTTGCTGAAAGCTTCAGCAATAAAACTTATAGATGAAGTTCAGTCAAATGGGGAAGCATAAAAAATTTAAGACATAAGAAGAAAAAAAAGGTAAAATAATAGGGGAAGGAAAAAGAGGAACCAGGAAGTGAAGATTAAGTACGAAATAATAGCTCACCAGCAACTGATCAATAAGATCTCTGGCTTCATTTGAAAAATAATTTGGAAATCTGATATCTCTGGCAATGATTCTTTGGAAAATGAGCCATTCACTGGCATCTTTAAACGGCGAAGTTCCCGAAAGCATTTGATACAATGTGCAACCAAGTGCCCAAAGATCATTTCTGGTACGACACGTTCCAAACGAATAATGATGTTAAATATAGGATTCATATGCAACATAAAGATGGGAAAACTTGGCTTTTCCGACGCATAGAAATCCATACCCAAAAGTCGCAGGAGAAGAATTTAAAACTTCAGGAGGGACATAAGCAGCGGTTCCCACAAAAGTACAGGCTTTGTCATCTGGATACAAGAAAAACCACGGATTTAATAATGAGGAAGACAATAATATACTCTCACGAGTGTCCTCAACTCCTCATAGAAAGCAATATTTACCTGATGCCGCATTTGGAAGGACTGTTATTCTGCTATCCTGCATTGGCTTTACGCTGCCAAAATCCGCAATTTTAATATGTCCATCTGAAGTAAGAAGCAGGTTCTCTGGCTGCCAATAAGCGAACTATAAGAATCCCCCACCTGCCATATATTATTCACGTAACAGTCCACACTGTCAAATACCTTAATGTCTCGATGTATCAATCCCATACTATGTATATACTCAAGAGCATCTACAACTTCAGCTGCATAACAGCGTGCCTCGTCTTCAGACAAACGGCCTTTCTGCACCAACGGAAGTTAAAAGCACATTGTACATCAGACAAGTAGTCACAAACATTGGAGAAGGGAACTACTTTGAAGAAAGGACGATAACATTTTCAATAAATTCACGAAAATACCAATATTCGACAGGAAACAACACAATATACACGAAACTTTTGTGAAGAAGTTCATTTACATGCATCAAGGTTCTTCATTTACTTACCCTTGTTATTTGATCAAAAAGCTCTCCACCTTCACAAGACTCAAGCGCCATATCTTCAGAATACAACCAAATACAATTAAATTAGACCA